ACACTGCAGATGTTCTCACTGAATATTCATATCCTCAGAATCAAGTCAGTCAGAAATACCAAGGGTTTACTCAAAGCAAGGAGAGTCTGCTTTTAGCTATTATGCCAGCCGCAGCTGGAACCAGTTTCCAGAAGACATCAGATGTGCTCTACAGTGTCACATTCAAATCCAGACTCAAAACACACTGTGCTACTGTATGTCTGACTTATTGCACATTATCTTATATGTATCCTTCTCGTCATATTTTTAATGTAATAGTTTTGATGCATTTTTAAATAAAAAGTTCAAAATCTTTTTTTTTTTTTGAAAAATCACTTTGAATTATTATTGTGCATGAATGTGTTTTATAAATAAACTTAAGATAACATGTGTCATGTCACACGCTCATGTCACTTGCTATAGGTATAGGGATGGCATGTCCTACAAAAAGATAAGCAGAATGAAGAATGGATGATATATTATTGGGCATCTCGAGAAAATGTTGAAGTGAGTGAAGATCCACTGCAGACACTAACATTATATTTAATGTACTGGGTCTTTTTTTTATAAATTAATTTGCTTGATCTGTTATAAATGTCCACATATTTAATTACAGAAAAAAATGTTTACTGTTATTGTTCTTCGTTTGTCCTCCACATTTACGCTATATAACAAGTAGTGAAGCCATAGTTTTATCCTATAATATATGAATTGAATGTTTATGAAAATTGACTCATTTATGTTAGAAAAATATTAAACCTAATTAAAAAGAAAGCATTGTTTAATTAAACATTTAATCATTTATATTGTCATTGTACTAATCTGAAAACAAATTGTAAAACATATTAATAATACAATAATATTGTAATACTTATGTCATTATACTTATATCACAGTGCACATGGTTTAATTTTCCACATAAAATCAAAAACATTTGCATTTTTTTTAGAAACTTGACAAATCCATTTACATCCACACATTAAACCTCTGATTTCCTTGATAGCCACATTTGAATTTAAATATGTTTCATATATTTAACTCTTTACCGATCCAAATACCAAGATGTCACAATATTTATGATGTCAGTTTTTTTGTCCCCTCCTCTTGTGGATCTGATGTCATAAACCAGAACAGCGACAGTAGCCACGCCCACCAGAGCAGAGACGACCAATCGGATCACAGCTTCAGTTGAACGACAACAGTGGATTTGGTTTGTTTTTCTAATAATTGTATAGAAGTCCCTAATGTACATTAAATATGCATAACGTATTTCATCGTGGGCATGGCTTTTTCTGTCTTAAACACCATTAGCTTTTTCTCTTGTTTCTTTAGCTTTCTCTCTCCCAGAAGTCAAGATTAAACCAATACTCGTTTTGTATTAGCCTACCTATTTTTATTTGCCATTTCACACAATTCAGAAAGGCAAAATGTGCAGGAACGGACTGTATTTATAATATTATGAATTAAATGTGCGTTATTTGGAAGAAAGTGGAGGTAACCTCCCCTCCCCCCACACCATGGTCTCGAGATTACACCCCAAAGTTTCCCTTCCATTAGCCTACGTGATTTTCTCAGAAACGATACAAGAATACGGAATTTTGTATAACAAAAAAAACTTGTGCTCGGTAGGCTACTCGATAACACACTGCCCCACACGCAACAACATCACTAATAAATGGCCAACATGTTCACATATAGGCTACAATGTGCAAAAGTGAATTGTAGGCTGGAAAAAAGAAAAAGAAGAGACAGCGGGATGATACTCGCGCGTCGCTTTTAGGTAAGACAATGTTTTAAATAAAAATGTTAGTTTTGTAGCGCGGGCGCCCTTGCGTCGTGTATGCATGTCCAGGGGGGCGTCGCTAGTACAACATCTGCAAATGATCCGGGGCAGGCTTTTTTAGCCCTGCATGTTGAATCTTTATTTTATTTTAACGGGGGTCCGGGGGTTTCTCCCCCGGGAAATTTTGAAACTTGGGCTGTTTATGCAGTTAGTTTGTTTGAGAAGAAAAGGAAGACCGCTTAGATACGTTTTTTCGTTGTTGTTCTACTATGCGGATAATGCGGTCATTTTCAAGAGGTTCATAGGCCAAGGCCCAAGGGCGACATCTGTTGGTGAAACTGCAATTAGAAAAAAAAAAAACCCACAATCTCAGTGTTTGTATATTTTCTAGGGATGTCCCGATACCACTTTTTCACTTCCGATACCGATACCGATGCCGCAGCTTTGGCTTTTGCCGATACCGATATTAATCCGATATTTTTATTTTATTCTTAAACTAATAAAAAATATAGCAATTTTCTCAATTAGCCACCTAAAATATACCTCCTATATAGTCCACAACAACAGTTGATTATGAAAGATTGCCACCCTTTATTCAAACACTACAAAAAAATAAAGAAATATATAAATGAAAGAAAAACAACAAATCCCCAAAATATATGATCATAATCTGACAAAAATGCTATTATAAACTAGATTAGTGGATAATACACATTGCTCTTTTTATTGTTGTAAAATACATTCATGAAAAACAAGATAACAAAAATGAAAAAGATAATTATTTTAGATATAGCTAAATCTGCTATAAAATTGAGACATGTTTTAAGTGTATTGCACAGCTATTTAATGAGGCAGCAACATTAATAATTATTAATGTTAATAAGCTTTAATTGCGTCAATGCATTATGATATGAAAGGCTCCAATACAGTGCGGCACAAAGCGCTTATGCGCATCCCGAGCGGAGAATGATGCGCTTGAAGCCACGTGGAGTTCCAGCACGCAGCGCGTCGAGTCCGCTTTGAAAAGTTCAAAGCACAACGGAGATACATATTGATGGACAGTGTATTATACAGTATCTATCTATGCAATCGTTTATTGAGCCTTTTCTTTTAACAGTTTTAAATTTCAGTTACTGTGCGCGTGAAGAACAATTATAGTGCTCTGACTCTAGTGTTGTGATCAAACTGACAGCGTCCGACACCCGGTAGAGAGTAACACGATTGAGTTACAGCAATAAAGTCCAGCAAGATAAAGTTGTTTTATGCGAAAACATAGACCTTTATCTTACAGATCAAGTATAATAGTATTAACATTGAATCATCTTGAAGATAGTTTCATCATTGACTGCAACCGAACGCGACGCGCTGTTTGAATGCTGAATGGAGAATGACTGACAGCCGCGAGAGGGAAAAATTTACGTCATCTTGAATTTAATTACTTAAATATTAATTTATATCTCACATAATAGCTTCAGAACACTTATAATAGAGTGCACGAAAACGTTATGGTACTTTAGAATGTTTTTGTGCATTTTGTGGGGCTTAACAATAACACATAATACCACAATATCGGATTTGGATCGGCCTCGTCTGATCGATGTCAGATCGATACCCGATCCCGCAAAAATGGCAGTATCGGAGCGATACCGATCCTGAGTATCGGATCGGGACATCCCTAATATTTTCATATTCATTCACAGAGTTGTCAAATTATTAGGGCTGGGAAAAGATTAATCGCATCCAAAATAAAAGTTTGTGTCTACATGATATATGTTTGTGTACTGTGTATAATTATTTTGTATATATAAATACACACACATATGCACGTATATATTTAATAAATATTTGCATGTACATAGATCTGGGGGAGTCGCTGTACCCTTTTTGAAATTCACACTGTGCCCCAGTAAAATATTGCTGATAAATCCTTCTCTGATTACTACTTTCGACCTGAGAATATGTCGGCATGAAAATGTCCTTTGTGTTTTGTATCAGCGGTTTAGAATCAGAACTAGCAATGCCAGAATAGTGAATGAATCACTATTGATCTAATTAAACTGGTTCAGAAAATGGTCTGAAATTGTTCATTATTCAGTTTGATTCATTCAAACAGTTCTGTTAAAAGTCCGTGCCCTGCCATAGACTACGTTACCCACAATGCACGTGTTCGCTTGTAGTTCTGATCGCTTGTGGTTGCGCGAGGCGCTTTCACTTTCGGTGCGGTCAAGTGTTATGAGAAGCAGTATCCACGGAGCAGAGAATTGCCATCCTTTGTTAATCCTGCGCTAATATTGTGTGTAAGAGTGCTGTGCGTCCTTAAGATGTAAGTACGGCTTTTGCATAAATTATGTTTATTGCAGAGTTATTAGCCCAGATGGCGAGGTTGTTAGGCTACTCGTGTTACTCACTACTGCTATAGGCTACTGTTTTGCCGCTCCGGCGCTCTACATGCGCTCATTTACTGTATTAATTATTGCTTTGCAAATAACCGCAAATATTATATTTATTGCATAGGTTGCCTGTTTTTGCCGCTTTTCGCCGTGTGGAGATTTGTGGCATTTATGCAGGATCATTTATAGTGTTAGAGCTCCTACTAGTGGATTTTTGGTTGTACTATGGGTCATTTATTTATGCAACTATATGTAACCACAGCCTATGTGTCTATTAATATACATTTTACTGTATTTTCTGTTTCAGATAACCACACACACACACACACACACACACACACACACACACACACACACACACACACACACACACACACACACACACACACATACACGCTCACACCCCTACAAACTCACCTCTTTGTTATATTGATACCTGTGAACTGTCATCATCTCCATGTACCCGACTCTTCCTTAATAAATACTCAAACTGTATCATTGGAATTGCTTATTCCTTCTAACTGAGGAGACTCAGTTGACGAACAACCCCTAATCAGCTGCATACGCACATGGTCTTTCACAAGTTCACTCAATCTCTGATTTGTTTGCAGAGGTTTCTCACACTGAAATGTTGGGATATTTTATAATACAGAAAACAAAAAGGGCCCTGGATGAGTTCCATATTTGCTTATAATCCAGAAAACAAACATGCAAATGTCTTCTTTGCCAAGGATGAAGCAAGTGTGCAGCTTAAACCCCGCCCCCGATGATGACATCATTCAATGCCATTCTAATAACCATATCCTCAAACCTAATACAAACACAATAATATATTTTGAAATACTCAAATTTGATTGTCCACAATGCACAATTTGCTTTTTCAATGTTTTTATTAATTTGAGTGTTTCAGTGAAGATATGGAAAAGAGATTAACATTTAGAAGAGATTTGATTTCAGAATAACATTTTTGTAATATTGGAAAAATGTAGAATCAAAGTAACAGTGGAACAGGATGACGGTCTCACAGGTCCTTAACACAGATACAGGACATTGAGGTTGAACAGGGCGCATCGTTCCAGCAACGTTTAGCTGTAAGGAGGAATAATGAAATAAGTTATTCTGATCATTATAGTGTTGTTAGAATCAAAATAAAATAGATCGTTCAACTTAAGGCACTTAGTGAAATCCAAATGAGTCATTTTATGTTACTGTATGATGTGAAATTGGATTTTAAATTATAACTGAACGTGTTAAAAAAAACAGACTGCAGTCTTACAAAAAAGGTGTATCTCCAAACAGTCCTCGGGATGCTGGTAATTGTTAGGTTCTCCAGAGCACCAGTGGGTAAACGAAAACACAGTTCCATCACTCCACAACCAATGTCCTTCCTGAAGAGTGAAGAGAGGGAATAAAAGAGTGCACTGTTGTCAGACTTCAGGAAGAAGCTTTAGTTCAGATTTGAAGTCAAACCTTCTTCATTAGAAACTTTGCCTTTACTGTTTAAAGCAGAAATGTTAGTTTAGACAAACAAATAGGTCTCTTTAGGACACACAATTGAACTCACGTGTACGGCATCATTCGCACCAATCCAAGCACGTGTGGAAGGAGAAGGCAACAGACTCAGCAGGAAATCATTTTCCAGTTTATTACGCACAGATGCGAGATTCGCACCATGACTGTGACAGTTTTTCTGAAGAGACAGATTTTTTCATTGTCAATACAAAATCAATTCTTTATTAGCATAAAGCAAAGTGATTATTTGCTCAGTACCAGTTTTCTATTTATTTGGAGAAAATAAAGTTCTACTATAAAAAATAACATTCCCGCTTTAAAGTAAGTGTCTTTAACTATCACTGAAGAAAAAAACAAATATTTGTGTGATTTACTTGATCAAACCCATAACAATTTGCACTGACACGTTTTAAGTTAATTGTACTACTGCTCCGTACAACTGTTATTATCAAGTAACATCTACTTGATAAATTAGTTGACATTTAAATTACACGTAACATTTAATTGAACTACTTACGTAAATATTACTTATATTTAATTTCACATATACAAATGATTTCCATTACACGAGAGTAGATGTTAAAAACTTCATGCTGATTTGTACTCGGCTTTCGCAAAGATAAGCACAGACTAAGACGTAGCTTTACAGTAACCTATGCTTCCCCATCCATTTACGCTTCTTTCCATATGGTGATGTGAATCTCCTTCTGTCCGGCGTTAACGGCTGCAGTGTAACATCTACTTCAACTTTTGTAAATTTAACAACATTAACTTTTTACTCAGACAATATAACACTGAATCAAACCACACATTAGAAGTGTATGCTTTACTTAGAAATATCTACATAAATAATACAGTAGATATTGAATAGATTGCATATTGAATCTACTTAAAATAATTAATATGGCACCTGAACACCTCAATACTTGGACACAATACACAATGACGGTAACAGTCGATAGATCGTTTTTGAGTGATTGTGTAATTTTGTCACAATATGCCAAGTTACTAAACCTAACAACAAAAGCGATAATAAAACGGTCAAATAAAAAGTCAAACTTATTAATTATTCATGCCCCAGTGCATGATGGGAACTCCAGTATATCGTTGACATTTACGCAATTTCTACACGCTTGAATTGAGTACTTATATAGAATTGACTTTGTTTTGTCTTGCCTGAACTAACTTTTCCATGTAGAAATTACATTAGTTTTTTTCCCCGTAACATTTACTTCACCAGAGAATCATCAGTTTAAATGAATCATTTGATAATGCACTTATTGTGTGCATACATGTCTTTACATCTGTATTTTATACACTCAAAAAAATGATATGTTGGCTTTAATTAACTTTTTTATCAACAGGTCCCACATAACTGGGTTACGTTAAACAAACATAATTTGTTCATGTAACTTCAACATAATCGAATTAAGCAATTTTAAGCGATGAGCACTGAAGCAGTGTTAAAGTTAATGAGATAATTAAGTGAATAATTGAGGGATGATTGAGCATTATTGAAGACACCTGATGGTAATAAGCAGAATCACTGAAGGAGAAAACCGGAAAAGTCACCGTTATGGTGATCAGTGTGTGTTTTAGTTGGGCTCTCGACTCTCACATCATTAACTTTAGATTTTGTTTGGCTGTTGTACATGAGTTATATCAGTCAGATGAACAAATAGAAAAGATGATCTGATGGTGTTGGTTGTGTTTAACATAATCATTATTTCACAATCATTTGACCTGATTCACTGAACTCATATAGAACCCAATTTCTGAGTGAATTACAAATACATCCGGAAATGCTTCTCACCTTCATTCACCTTAAGTGAATGTAGCCTTGGCCTGGAGGGGTTGATGTCATCAGGCGGTACCCATCGTTCATTGGGTGTTTCAACCCTTATCCGCAACACCCTCCCGATGGTGGGTCGGCAGTGGTGGCCAGATCACTGCCCATCTTCCCCTCCAGGCTTCCAGCTCAACTCCTCCCTCCTGCTCCATAACCAGCAAGAGGCTCTTTCCGCTGCCTCCCCCATCCTGCGAGCTGCTGCCTTCCTCTCTTTCCCTGTTATTCCAATGGCTGTGAGCATTCTCCACACTGACTGAGCAGGGAATCCTCTACAGCCAACCTCGACCGGGAACAGCCAAGCCTGCCAGCCTTTCCCCCTGCAGTCGTGCTGCAGGTTTTGGTATTTGGCTTTCTTCCGTTCAAAGGCCTGTTCACAACCCTCTTCCCATGGGACTGTAGGTTCTATGAGGATGATCTTTTTTCCCTCTTCAGACCACAGTACCACATCCGGCCTCAGAGTTGTCTGGACGAACTGGGGGAACTGCAGCCTTCCTCCCAGGTCGACCTTCATTTCCCATGATTGGGCCTTTTGTAGCAGACTGGCTCTTGTTGTTACTGTGGTTGATGGCTTTTCCCCCTCCCTTACAAACTGGATTGATGTTGTTTTCCGAAGTGGTTGGCGTTTCTTTTTCCTCTCCTGCTCTAAGGTGTTGGCGAGTGTCATGAGCACCCTGTCGTGGCGCCACCTGTATCTTCCCTGGGTGAGTGCTTTTTTACACCCGGACAGGATGTGTGCCATGGTGCCCCTCTCCCCACAAAGCTTGCACAATGGGTCCTCTCTCATGCCCCACTTGTGCAAGTTTGTTGGGGTTGGCAGTGTGTCATACACGGATCTCAGCAGGAAGGAGATGCGGAACGGCTCGAGTCTCCAAAGGTCCGCCCAGGTAATCTTCCTCTTGGGAAGATCCCATTTGGTCCAGGCTCCTTGGGAAGCTAGGTCCACTGCCCTTGACCTTCGTCCTTCCTCTTCCAGGTTCCGTACCTCCTCTTGAATCATGGCTCTTCTTTCACTGGTTCCTGCCTTCCTCCACTGTTGGAAATGGGAGGTTCCAAGACCCTGTCTTCCTGTGCATGGCGCTCCAATGATATCCCGTAGCTTCAACATGCTTTCAGCTTGTGCAACAGATGAATCAGCTGCCCACTTGCGACCTGATCTTGTAATGACGCCTGCATGTCTGACTTGTTCATCCTGTGAGTCTCTGTATGTCATTACGACTCTGCACTTTGCAACTTTGAATTCCTCAACCACAGATGACAGAGGAAGTTGGAGCTGCCCTGATCTTATATAGAGGCCTACTGCAGTGAAGCTTGGAGGGATCCCCAACCATTTCCGGAGGTACTTATTGATCTTCCTCTCCATTCCTTCAACGCATGTCATCGGGACCTCATACACAGTCAACAGCCACATGAGCCTTGGCAACAGTCCGTGCTGATAGAGCCAAGCCTTAAACTTCCCAGGGAGCCCTGATTTTTCAATCCTCCTCAGCCATTCCTCCATCTGCTTTTCCGTACTCGCTTTGTTGTTCCTGTCAGTTAGTGAGTCATCAAACCACTTTCCGAGGCACTTGATTGGATTCTCCTCTATCGATGGAATCACTTCCCCTTGCACCTGCAGCTTGAACCTGTTGGTCAACTTCCCGTTCCTGATCACCAAACTCCTGGATTTCTTTGGCTTAAACTTCATTCTGGCCCATGTTGCCATGTGGTCCAGAACAGTTAGCACCCACCTCGCCTCCACATGGGTTGTGGTCGTCACGGTAAGGTCGTCCATGTAACCTCTTATTGGGGGTTGTCGGATGCCTGACTCCATTTTTGGACCCCGGGCTTCCTTCTCCGCAGCTGTTATTAGGAGATTCATTCCCATGACGAAGAGGATGGGGGAGATTGTACAGCCAGTTACGATACCCTTTTCTAGGCTTTGCCACTGAGTTGTAAAATGGGGCGCGTTGAATCGTAGCTGGATTCCACAAAAGTAGCTGGTGATCATTCTCTTGATGTGCTGCGGAATGTGGTAGTGGTCTAATGCTGCATGAATGAGGGCGTGAGGGATTGATCCATAAGCATTGGCCAAGTCCAGCCAGACAACAGTCAGGTTGCCCTTGCTGGCTTTAGCCTCACGGATCATCTGACTGAGAACTCCGGTGTGTTCCAGGCATCCAGAGAAGCCTGGAATTCCACCTTTCTGAATAGCAGTGTTGATGTATCCATTCTCTGTCATGTAAGCGGTCATCCTCTTGGCCAGTACCGAAAAGAAGATCTTGCCTTCTACACTTAGCAGTGAGATTGTTCTGAATTGCTCAATGGTTGAGGAGTTCACTTCCTTTGGCACGAAACAGCCTTCCGCCTTCTTCCAGCCTGACGGAATGGTACCCTTTTTCCAAATCCTCCGGAACAGCTTCCACAGCCTCCGGAGGAGCATTGGGCATTTCTTATATACCTTGTAGGGTATACAGCTTGGGCCAGGGGCAGACCCTGTTCTGGCCTTCTTCACCACCTCTTGGACTTCCTTCCAGGATGGTTCACTGATGTTGAGCTCTTTTTCCGGGGTCTTTATACTGTTGATGCTTGGGTTGGCGTCAAGGGCCTGGTTTCTCGAGGTGTCATTGTGGGTCTCCCTCAAAAACACCTCCACATCTCCTCTTGGGCTGGTCAGCCTTCCAGATTTTGCTTCACCCAGCAGTGTTCTGGTGAATCGGAAGGGGTCTTTGGTGAACTGGGATCTTTTGTT